CGAACGGGGTACCCCAGGGCTCTGTCTTGGGCCCTCTATTATTTTTAATCTACATCAATGACCTCCCACAAAATGTCAACAATAGCAAATGCTACCTTTTTGCAGACGACACTACTCTGCTCTCCAAGGCTACCCAACTTGACGAGGCCCACAGTCTCGACCAGGTTAAGCGGTGGTTCTCGCAAACAAGCTCAACTTAATGAAGCGAAAACCAGTACGCTAAGAATAACTTCCGACAAAGGAATGAGACTTCATCATCCGTAAAGTTATTAGGGATCGTTGTGGATAGCCGCTTGACCTGGTCGGAGCATGTGGACCAGGTGTGTACCAAGATCTCCAGACAGATGTTTATCATGAGGCAACTGGCTCAGTGTTTGCACAGACAAACCATGAGAACTGTATACTTTAGCCTCATTCATAGTCATCTGTCGTATGGTATCATCCTCTGGGGTAATTCTGTCAAGGCCCAAAAAGCATTTACAATGCAAAAGGCTGCTATACGGATTGTAGCTGGCGTCTCCTACGATCATACGTGCCGCGGTTGTTCAAAGAGATGCGCATACTGCCGTTAGCATGCCTGTTCATACATGAGACCCTTTTACATGTTCACGCAAACCTGAGTACTTTTTCGATAAGATCAGAGACACACAGCTATAATACAAGATACGCTAATGATATATCATTACCGCAATCTAGGATCGCCATGACACAAAACAATAGATTAATGTGTCGCTTTACAATAACTTTGTTAGATATCATAAGCGGTCCAATATTGAGAAGATGTCTAACAAACAGTTCTCTAGGTTCGTCAAAAACTATTTGTTAAAAAACTGTTTCTATACTGTAAGTGAATATTAAGTGCATGTGATCCTAGTGATCAGTGATCGTGTGTAGAGCAAGAAGACAGACTGTATAAACTTTATCTAGTTGTGACCTCAAACATGTATCTATATGTATAGTGGTCAATAATGGTATGGTATGGTATGGTATGGTATTATTATTATAATTATAATTATTATTATTATTTGTTTATTTTCCACAGCCCTATCTATTCAACTGGTTCTGTCCATGTGGGCCGGTTTTGGTTGGTCATTTTCATTATGGTACTTCGAAGATGTTACCCACATCCTAACGAGTCCATTACCTTATAGTGTCTTACGTAATATGGTTGCTGTACCATACAAGCAATTTCCTGCACGTCTGCTGTCCTGTGCCTTCCTGGTATGAGATTTAGGTTTTCATGTAGATTGTCTGGGATCGTCCCTAATGCACCTAAAATTACGGGAACTATCTTCGTTCTCAGATTCCACATTCTTTGGATTTCAATTGAGAGATCTTTGTATTTCAATTTCTTTTCAGCTTCTTTGTTTACAACGTTTCATCGTTGGGGACTGAAACATCTATAGCAGGCAGGTTTTGTCACGTTGGTTTTGACGATTATGTCTGGACGGTTCGCGGATATCTCACGATCTGTTTGCACTGGTAAGTCATTATTATGGTAATCTCATCTTTACTAACTACTGGAGTGGGATTGTGATTATACCATTTTCTTCCACTGCGATCCCAAAGCTTATACAGATGGCATGATGCAAGTATATGCATATTTTATTATGTCGGACCAAGTACTCGTGCTTCGCCAGTTGAGGACAGCCGGATATAAGATGATCTATTGTTTCTGAGTATTGTTTGCACATTCGACATCTATCATTTGCTGTTATTTTGAGGATATGTTTCTCATAATGTCTTGTACGTAGGGCCTGGTCTTGGGCGGCCGTTATCAGGGCCTCTGTTTCACCTTTTACCTTCCCTCTCGTGAGCCACGCAAACGTTTGGCATTCATTAATCCCTGGCCTCTTAATTCTCTTCACGTATTGACCATGAAGCTGCTTTCGTATCCATTTATCCTTCAAGGTCTTCCTTGTCATGGCCTTAATTCTGTAGACAGTAACTCTTCTTCATCCTCGACCGCTTGATTTTCTATTTCCGGTAGATGTGTCTTTACAATTTTTATCGCTGACTTGACTACTGACTTTCCAACTCGAGGGTGCCTTTCACATCTCCAAATTTGTCTAACTAACTTATCATTTCTACGGCTTCTTAAATAATTGGCTATGGATACAACTGTATTATCATAAGTCATCTCTAATTGCCTGAGTCCTCTACCTCCTTCTTTACGACTCACATATAGCCTGTCTACATCAGCTCTAGGATGCAGCTGTCCAGAATAGTAAGCATCTCCTTGTTTTACGATCTAGGTCTGCAATTTCCTTTGACTCCATCTATGATTCCAAAACTGT